GCGAACTCCTCGCCAGCCTGCGCAGCCCCACGGGGCCTGGCTCCGGGTCCGCCGAGGACGCGGCCGCGCTCGGCCCGCGACCGTTACGGGGCCCACGCTGCGCCCACCGCCAGCCCGCGCCGCCCGTCCGCCCGCCGCTCACCTTCTTGGGGTCAGGGTTCGCGGCCAGGAGCGCCTGCAGCTTCTCTACAACTTGGCGCGCCGACTCCGCCGCCATCGCTGTTGCGAACTCCTCGCCAGCCTGCGCAGCCCCACGGGGCCTGGCTCCGGGTCCGCCGAGGACGCGGCCGCGCTCGGCCCGCGACCGTTACGGGGCCCACGCTGCGCCCACCGCCAGCCCGCGCCGCCCGTCCGCCCGCCGCTCACCTTCTTGGGGTCAGGGTTCGCGGCCAGGCGCGCCTGCAGCTTCTCTACAACTTGGAGCGCCGACTCCGCCGCCATCGCTGTCACTGGCGCGGCCTCCTCGCCGGAACTGGGCTCGCGTAGCGTCCTCGGGCCGCAGCTCCGCCCTCCGTGCGGCCCCGACGGAGACGGAAGCGCGACTGGTCCCTTCCGGGCCTCCGCTGGGGGGCGTAGGGGCCGGTGCAGGCCCCGCCCACGAAGACCACGCCCCCAAACCCTCACTGATTCGCTCCGCCCCGCCCCAGGCCACGCCCATCCAGACCCGCCGCAGCCCACGCCCCCATGCTCGGCTCCGGGGCCCAGGACCACTCCACTGCGCGTGCGGGCCCAGGTGGGCGTGAGGGCTCCCACACCCTAGCCGGACTGACTGCTGCAAATTGTCATCTGGCTTCCACACGCACGCTGTAGCACCGCGCGCCCACATACACCCACACAATAAATAATGTAATAAAAACGTTAAGTAACTTATAAGTAGTATAATCCTGGTAAAAGAGCCAACCCAGACTGGCTTGTTTTAGGGCAACTTGAAACACCGAAAACAAAAATAACAGTAATACATTATCAACCACCTTGCCCTCTACAGCGAAAGCATCCCTTTTCTGGAGTGCTCAAGTGACATGATTTATTTAGATGGGACAGGTGTCCCCTTAGGCCTCTCCTGCCCTGGGCTCTGCAGCTCTTTCTTAGCAAGAGGCAGTATCTAAAGCTGTTTGAATGGTGGAACGAACACCTGGTTATGCCTCAGAGTAAGAACCTGAGTTCCAATTCCTGAGTCCACCATGCTAACTAGAGCTCCTGTCCAAGTTACCTCTGAAGTTGTTTCCTCCTACCTACCTTCTAGTCTTGTGAGATCTAGCAATATCAATCGGTACATAGTAGTCCTCTTGAAAAAGCATCATTTAAGATAGGCGTAGGGATTCCAGCTGGTAATCCCAGCACTTGACAGGAAGATTAAGAATTTAAGGCAGCTTCTACTACATAGTAAATTAAAGCAATCCTGGGGCCCTGTGTAGTGGTGCACTCCTTTAATCCTAGCAGAGGCAGGCAGATCTCTGTGAGTTTGAGGTCAGCCAGGTATACATAGACAGTTTCAGAGCCAGCTAGGGCTACATAGTGAGATCCTGTCTCAATAAGTGGGTTTGTCATAAAAGCTAACCTAGGCTACATGAGACTCTGTCTCAAAAAAAATTTTTTTAAGTTGGGGTCAGCAAGATGGCCCAGCAGGTGAAGTACCTGCTGGGCCATCCTGATGACCTAAGTTCCACCCATGGGACTAACATAAAGGTAGAAGGAGAGAACTGACTGTCTTCTGACATTTAGACATACACACATACACATGCCATGGCACACATGTCTGGACACACACACACAAAAATAAATAATAAATAAAAATTAAGCATGCTGGAGAGATGGCTCAGAGGTTAACAGAACTTGCTGCTCATGCGGAAGACCTGGGTTCGTTTCCTAGTACCCACATGGTGGCTTACAACAGTCCATAAGTCCAGTTCTAGGGAATCTGACGCCCTCTTCTGACCTTCCCATGCATTGCATGACATGGCTGCAGTTACATACACGCAGGCAATAGATTCGTGCACATAAAATAAAAATAATAAAATATTTTTTAATTAAGAAAAGGAAGGAACCAAGTGTGGTGGTGCACACTTGTAGTCCCAGCACTCAGAAGGTAGAGGCAGTGGATCATTGTGAGTTCAAGTCCAGCTTGGTCTACATAGTGAGTTCCAGGCCAGCCAGGGCTACAGGGAGACCCTGTCTCAAAAAAAAAAAAAAAAAAAAAAAAAAGAAAGGAAAGAAAGAAAAAAGGAAGGAAGGAGCAAGCAATTATTAAGAAAACACACTGCCTTATTAAGTACAAATATTGTATTCTCGTGTACACAACGCAACATAAAAATTCCTCTGCCAGTAGTTTTGTCTTACATCACTGAGGCTACAGTTTTCCCCATGGGCTCAGGTTTCTAAACTGACTACATCCATCTCTGTTTCACAGTTGGCTATATACTTAAGGATAGCACCTTTTTAAGGGATGGGTTTCTTTTTATTTTTATTTTTTATTTTGTGTGTATGCGTGTATGGTCTGCATGTAAGTAAGTGCACCCGTGTCATGCAATGCCCTCAGAGGACAGAAGAGGCTGTTGGATCCCCTGGAACTGGAGTTACAGACAGTTGTTAGATCTTCTGCCAGAACAGCCAGTGTTCTTAACAGCTAAGCCATCTCTCCTGCACGATGCTAAGGGTGGTTTTCACAGGCTGTGTTTGTGTGCCTCAAATACAATAGCAGACTAGGCTGGAGAGATGGTTTATCTATTGATTAAGAGCACAGAACCTAGGTTTGTTTCTGCACCCACATGGTAACTCCTAACTGCCTATAGCTCCGGTTCCAGAGGATCTGGCACCCTCTCTGGCATCTGAGGGCACTGCATGCATGTGATGCACATACATGCATGCTGGCAAACCTACTCATACATATAAAATTATATTTCTTGCCAGGCGAGGTGGCGCACGCCTTTAATCCCAGCACTTGGGAGGCAGAGGCAGGTGGATCTTTGTGAGTTCAGGGCCAGCCTGGTCTACACAGTGAGTTCTAGGACAGCTGGGGCTACAGGGAGACCCTGTCTCAAAAAGACAAAAAAAATTATATTTCTTAAATACATTTTTAGATGCCAAGTGGAAAGCTGGACATGGTGGCACATGCTTTTAATACCAGCACTCAGGAGACAGAGGCAATCTGTGAGATTGAGGCCAGCTGGGGCTACAGGGGGACTCAAAAGGCACCCCAAAACAAAACAAACAAACAAAAACCAAACAAACCAAAAAAGCCAAGTGGAGATAGCCAACTCCAGGACATATCTGGGACTTAAAATCTATAACTTTCACAGACTGCCTTGAGGTTGAGTTAAACTTCCTACTAGCACTTGAAGGATATAAGACCTAAATAGCTTTGCAGTTCCTGGTCTAAAGAGGACAAACTGCAACATTCTCCCATGTTCCTCCTGGGAGAAAGACCAGAAAAACTACCATAAATATAAAAGAACAGGTGCACGCCTTTAATCCCAGCACTCGGGAGGCAGAGGCAGCCGGATCTCTGTGAGTTTGAGGCCAGCCTGGTCTACAGAGTGAGTTCCAGACCTGCTGGAGCTACAGGAAGACCAAAAAGAAAAAAAAAAAAAAAAAAAAAACAGGCGCTCTAGATAGTGTTGCTTAGCTTGTAGGAGGCCCTGGGTTCGATCCCCAGCTTGCATTTCATACACACACACACACACAGCACCAAGCATATTTTCATACTTTAAAAAAGTTTATTTATTTATTTATTTTTTTGTCTTTTTGAGACAGGGTCTCCTTGTAGCCCCAGCTGTCCTGGAACTCACTATGTAGACCAGGCTGGCCTCGAACTCACAAAGATCCACCTGCCTCTGCCTCCTGAGTGCTGGGATTAAAGCCGTGCACCACCACGCCCGGCTTATTTTTATTTTATGTGCATGAGTGTTATGCCTGCATGTGTGTAAGCGCACCCATGTCCTGCAGTACCCATGGAGGTCAGAAGAGGGTGTAGGATCCCCTGGAACTGGAGTTACAGACAGTTGTTAGTCACCATGTGGGTGCTGGGATTCAAACCCAGTGTTCTGCAAGAACTGTCAGTGCTCTGACAGTTGAGCCATCTCTCCAGCCCCTATTTGATACCTTTAAATGCTATACATTTATGTACATTGTGTTCAAATTGTGGCTTCATGCTTCCCTTAGGTTTCCATCTTACTATAGTTTGGTCACATCTGTGATCCTGGCATTCCTATCCTGAGACGGAAGGCAGGAGAAGCACCTGGTTCTGGGCCAAATACCCTGGAGTATGCAGCACAGCAGCAGAAACAACACAGTAGGTAAGAAGCAACTCTAGAAAGTTGTCCTCAGACCTCCACACTCACGTTGTGGCATGTGCACCTTTGCATACACACACATATCATATACATACACACACATACAAAATAAGGAAAATGTAATTTTAAAAAAACACTGAATTATAATCACAGCACTCAGGAGTTAACCTGGGTTACAATGTGAGTTCTAGGCCAGCCTAGGCTACCATGTAAAACCCTGTCTCACAAAACAACAACAATAACAACAACAACAAAAAACAGGAAGCCCTAGCACCGGGGAAGTGGGTATATTGCTGTTGACTGAGTGCCTGGAAAGTGGATCAGTTCTGTGCTACCTGTGTGTGTGTGTGAGCGTGTGTGTATGATCTCTCACCCTTCCAACATTTCCTGAGGAATTTTAAGGAAGGACATCCAAAGCTAGGAAAGTTTAAAGAACTACCTTCAATTTGGTAAAAGACAAACGCACAAGGTAAAAATTGGTTACTTGACTCTTTTTTATTAAATTTTTTTTCAGTCTTTTTTTTTTTTTCTTGGTCTTTTTGAGACAGGGTCTCCCTGTAGCCCCAACTGTTCTGGAACTCACTATGTAGACCAGGCTGGCCTTGAACTCACAGAGATCCACCTGCCTCTGCCTCCCGAGTGCTGGGATTAAAGGCGTGCACCACCACGCCCAGCTTATTTATTATTTTTTATGTGTATGAATTTCCTGCATGTGTTTAAGTGCACCCATGTTGTGCAATGCCTGAGGAGGTCAGAAGAGGGTGTCAGATCCCTCGGAACTGGAGTTATGGATGGTTGTTAACCACCATGTGGGTGCTGGGAATTGAACCCAGGTCCTCTGCAAGAGCAGTCAGTGCTCTTAACACCTGAGCCATCTCTCCTGGCCCATACTTGACTACTTTTAAAAAAAAATTATGTACATGAGTATTTTAACTGCATGTTTGTAAGTGCACCCTTGCATGCAGTGCCTGTGGAGGCCAGAAGAGGATGTCACATCTTCTGGAACTAGAGTTATAGACAGTTGTTAGCTGCCATGTGGGTGCTGGGAACTGAACCTGGGTCCTCTACAAGAGCAGCCAGTGCTCTTAACCACTGAGCCATCTGTCCAGCCTTGTTTTTTTTTTTTTTTTGAGGCAGGGTCCCCCATGTAGTCCTGGCTGGCTTAGAATTCACCATGTAGCACAAGCTGGCCTAATATTTCCAAGGATCCTCCTGCCTCTGCCTTCTGAGTGCTGAGATTACAGGGTGTGCCACCCCGGCTGACTAAACTCAAGTTCTCTGACC